TATTCTTTATAGAAATAGAAATAGATAGGATATCAAATTATAGGCATGGTCCATGTAAATATAGTTCTTAGTTAAGTGCAAATTCTGTTCAAATCGTTAAGAAAGTGCAGGATTGTTCTCGGCAAAATATTCATGGCTATCGGCGTTCATGATTGCTTTCAATGGATAGCTATTAGCCAAAGTTCTGCATGCGGTCTGACCATATGCATGATCTTTAGTACCAGTGACGACTGTGAAGTGTGAGATTTCGTGAACAAGTGTATCAGCCTTCGAGTCAGTACCTTGGAGTGGAGCCGACCAGAACACAGGACATAAATAGATTCTGTAGGGCTGGCTCGCGTAAACGTAAGCATAAGTGCCGGACATGGTGCATCCACAATGGAAAACTATAGTCTTCGAATTAAGCACGTTTTTGATATTTTGATAGTGTCCTTTGACTGTATTCCAGTTCGCCAACACATATGTACCAAACCAAGTCCTATAGCGAGTTGTTCCAGAAGGTGTTGTGCTAGTCAAATAATTTAAAGAATTACTAGCATAGTTAAGAGCCAAAGAGACCGAATAGTAAATTTGGGACATCTGACTTGTCGAACAAGAAACATAATAAAGGCTGGCTGATCTTTTACGACGCACAGTGTTAATAGTATCTGGTTCGTGTTGGATATTAGGACGAGCTTCGATAATCAGTTGAATAGTATTCGACTCGATGTTGAATTCATGGTCATTAATGGGCTCAGTAGATATAGTATTCAAGTTTTGAGGATGTCTGAAGAGAACAAGCTCAGTTGGCATATTGTATTCGATTGAATATTTGCAAGTCTTAGTCATATCATATACTGATGATAGTCGAACGAGAGTGAGTATAGATTTGCCAGGTGCTAGAGAAGTCACATCATCAGTAGTTGGTGTGCGTCGTTTGATTAGTGGACCGAGATAATCAACGGAAGTATCATCACAGGTTAGTTTGAATAATGGATCATACAATTCCTTCTCTGGCATAGACCATTTATGAATATATAGTGTTTCGTTACCAGGGTTACTATATTGCACGTTCACTACAACATCCTGTGTTTTATCAAACATTGATTGTTCTGAAAATATTTCAACTCGCAAGTCGCTTGCATAGACGTTAGCCATCATTATTGCAATTGAAATGTATAAAACGATATTTTGCTGGTCCATTGTTACTTAATGTTTTGCAATCTACTTGTATATGTTTGCTTTATTAGTGTGTATACAAAGAAGACTTTACACTATCCTTATATAGGAGATGAACTATGATGTTTCTCTATCAAAGCATGACTATCCTACCTATTTTCATTGATTCTCATCATCAATTGTAGGCGTTTGTACATAACGTGCTAAGATATTATGAGGTAATTGAAATATATCTCGTAAAAGAATGACGACATTTTCTCGATTTATTTATACAGTAATGCCGTAACTAACGTTCGAAAAACCTATCTAATACACTAATGATGTATCTGATACACTAATGACGTAAGTAATAGACGAAATGATCATTGATGCATAACATAAACAGATTGATAGGAAAATATGATACATACAAGTAACGCGACGCAAACGTCGCTGACCCTCCACTGAAAGGATGCGATGTTGTTGAGCGCATCGTATTCGTCCTAGGAACTATGAGACCTGGTATCGTCATATACACTTAAAGGAACAAAATTAAAGGAATAGTATATGGAGGGTGTGGATTGAGAGAAGATGAACTCATACCCACACCCAGCCATACGACCTTCAACACTATAATACGTTAATTGACTACGACTAATAATAGGTTAAATGTTATTTTTGGAAATTTTTTAAATAACAAAACTTACGCATGTGTATGAACAAAAAGTCTATCTAAATAATACTTTTTAAATTTTCTTAGACTAGCAACAAGTGTTTTTGGAGAAGGTGGATTTTCATCTGTGCCACCATCAACAGTAAAAAAGAACAACTGGTTCTACTTGTGCTGTTCCACTGTGTGCAACTTTTTCAAATTAAAAAGACGATCAAAATTCACTGCATGTGATTCAGCATTTGATTGATCATATTTATCTGAACATGTCACAATATATGTTCAATCTGAATAACCTAAATCATCATCTTCAGATAAAATATATGCTGTATAAACACTTGGTGTAAGTTTATGTCTTGATGTGACTGTTCAAACGTGATCGAGTTAATATATATGATGATCCAAATGCATTAACATTGATAACTAAATATGAGCTACTAGTATATTAAGGAGAATTCTATATTTATCATCTTGTCATAAATAAAATACACAACCATTTCCAAAAATGATGTAAAATCTTTCATATAACGAATAGTTGCTGTTGCAAAATGTTCATCATTTTGTGCACGATGAAGACGAACTGGAACAATTTGATTATGTCGATGATCTTCTATTGATGATATACGATAAGGGAAAAGACTAAAAATAACATTCTTTGTTTTGTTTTTGTAAATCTAAAGAATTTATCTTTTATCGATAATAAAGTATTGCTCATTTAAATTTGATACTAACATCATGTTGTTTTATGTTTTTCACATAAATCGTTTAAAATTAAACAAGAACGAATGGTTTCTGAATGTCGTCGATCATCACCAGCATGACCAACTTCATCAATTTTTTTAATAATTTTTAATAAATCGAGACGTTGTCCTTTAACAGATGGTCGACTATCACCATGATGATGAAGTTTATTTAATTGTGCATTTAATTAAGGCTTTGTTTCTAAGAAATAATCAATCTAAAAAAAACGAAAAGAATATTTAGTTATTTGAGATTTGTTTTTGTTTATTCCAAGGTTTATTGGATACAATTTGTCTTGATTAACGATTTTTTAAATTGATAAACCTTCTTTTTTCGTCGATTCAAGCATTACTTGTTTTTTGTGGTGTGGGTGTTGGGTATCGGTGTGAAGAAACGGTTCAGACTTTTCTCACATCTATGCTCACATCCCACACACTCACCCACACCCACACCCACACCCTCGACATGAAATTTGCTATATTTGTTCATCAAATAGATCATCACGATTTTATAAATATTTAGCGTATAGTTAGGTTAAATGAATATTAATTTATATGAAAAAAATCTATTATACGATTAAATTAATATTATCACCAATATTATTTTGTTCGAATATGAAAAATTAATATATTTATACAGTAATTTACCATATTATAAACAATTGATTATTGATAATTCTCATCAGAAATTTTAACAATAAACATAGTTAACTGTTTGATACGACCATCAAGTAAAGTACTACAATTTTCAAAAACGATTTACACAAATAGATAATTTGTAAATAGTTGAAGAAGAAGAGTAAGCTGTCAAAGTTAAATTACGAAATGATAAAAGTACACATGATCTAGTAAAAGATAAATGTTTTAGATTTTTGAAGAATTTAACTATATATTTGTGTACATACGATCTCGAATTTGTTTTTCAAGTATCTTGTGAAATGGTGACTTGACTAAATTAAGAGAAATAATTAAATACCATGTAGAATATACAACGTGTCTATCAAAATCTGTGTTCATATTAGTAGAAGAATGTTTTACTTGTAAAATATTTTGAAGCAGTTTTGTTATTGAAATCGAAGAATTTAAGTACAACTAGATTAGGATAATCAGCAGCAAGAAGAATACGTTCCATAGATTCCGATTCAACAATAAGAGATTTAATATTAAGAGCAATTTTTGACAAAGTATTTATACAGAATCGATCAAGTTTACAATCATCAATCAACAATACATTATTAGTTATCATTGTCAATACAAAATTGAGACTTGTAGTAAACTTTTGGTCTTTTACTATCATATTAAGTTGTTGTTTTTCAATATCCAATAATGAATAGAGAACATCCATAATGTCAAATCTCATCAATATGTTAAATTATATTTTATTAGGTAGATCAAGAAATGTGGCATTTGACTGATTCATATTCATTGGTATTTCGTTCTATCAATTATGTTTATTGAATAGAATGAATAAATGACCTCGTCAGAAACAAAAAAATATCATCGATAAATAATTCACTGAACTTATCGATGAACATCGATGCTTTTTTTCCTCGATAGCTTACGTGTGTAGTATAAATATATACTAGTCCTCAGTCACATTCTAATTCTTGTGTTTAATAGTGATTATTTGATTTCATAATTTCTTCAAAATAATTATTAAACAAGAAGATATTTCAAATAAGTCAACGCATCATATCTATCTATATTATTTTGGATAAACTTGTTCCTATTTTATCAATAATAACCTTTAATTTCGACTAAGGTATACTGAGGGGAAAATAGCATCAATTCGATTCATTTCACACACTGATGATTTCGTTTTGTAACATGTTACTAATCTCTTCTTATATCATAAATCGTGAGGTTATTCGTTGTAAATGAAAATAAAAATAAAAATAATAATAGAAAAGCGATTTAGACTTTTTACAATATTTTTTATTAATGAATGATGTTAAATATTTATCGAGATATTAGTCATGAATTATAGCAATTGATCAGAAAATGAATATCAGTATTAATCATATTAAGCTTATTTTGGTAAATTAATATATATCTACTGACGAATTGTTTACATTTGTAATTGATATAAACGACAAAGTCTCTGAACAGTCTTTACATTGAAAATACATTGAATAAAATATACATCAGTTCATTCATGTGAATACCAGTGAATAAATCAATAGATCAATTGAGTATTTAGATCGTTGTGTATACAATTTAATGATCTATTAGTTTATGAAATATTTTACACGATATTTTTCCTTCGTTTAACCAACTATTGTAGTTAACTACCGAAAGGAGTGACGAGTACGTATATAATCGTAATTTGCCTCGAAGACCTTTTTTAAATCAAAGTTCTAAATAGTCTTATATGAAATCAAGAATTAAGAAGTAATGTTTATCGACTGTTGATACAACTTATCCTAGACGAACAGAATTGAGTTATCCATATAGGTATATCTATTGTCCGTTTTAAAATAAAGGACACCTGGTCATTCTTTGAATAACTTCCGCTAGGTGCAAGATATCTACCTGCGGTTTTCACCATTCGAAAGAGCAGAATGTGGATATTCACATCTAACGAAGTGTCATACTCACACTCACACCCTTTGTTGACTAAATAATGATGTTAGAAGTTTCGAGATTTTATAATTATTTCGACATTGAGGAATTATTTCATAGGGTCATGTTCATATATTTGACAAGCTCATCTAGTATATTTCCAATGAAATGTTAATAGATTAGCAAATTTGTTAGGTTTGCGGAATCATGGTAGCATCTTGGTAGCATAAAATGCGTAAGCTAAACATATAAAAAAAAGTCTATTGAAATATATACTAACTGAAAGTTACACTAATTTTCAAGAAAATGATTAATGATTTTAATTGAAAACTGATCAAAACAAAATCTAAATATAGGTCGATAACAAGTATATCATCGGAGAGATAAATAATTATGAGAATTATAAACGAGGTAAAACTCTTTTTTTTCACTATTCGAACAATATGGTTTTTCTTTTTTTGAATAAAACTTATCTCTATTATTAATTTTGAGTCAAATTGTAAGTTTATGATTTGCCTTATTTCAACATATAAATCGCTAAAATATGTCATAAAAAAAGATAATCTGTCTAATACTAATTTATAAGTGTTAATAAAAATACAAGCAACATATATTGACCACTTTTCAATATTTTCTAAATCGAAATTGATCAGTAATCTATATAAATATCTTGCACGAGTATAGGTTAATGATGTTGACAAAGATTTAAATAGATGAAAAAGTTGAATCAATTTGTTAGATAATCGAATTTGAATAAAATTATTTATTGTAACATAATTGTGTTATAAAATAAATACTCGATATAATAAAGAAGAAGAAAATTTTCAATAATTTCTTAATAATTTTTAATCATAATATGAGCATCAAATGTTATTTTGTTCTAAATTAATTTATTCGTTATGATTGTCATGAATAAAAAAATTTTAATTTTCGATTATTTCTCTCTAATCGAAATTTTGTTGGAAGATAGAATTGTTTCTTTTTCAAACTAAATGTGATATATTTTTATCACAAGTTCCTAAATAATATAACAAAAAGGATAAGTACCGTTAAAATAAATTTGCACCTTTCGTAAGATTCAAAAAGAAGCACGAAATGTTGATCCCATATCTTTGTGATAAGTACGTTTTGAAAGATATATTTTGAATCAGTTAATAGGATATTATTCCTCTTGGGAACAATATGTAAGATATTCGGAAATAAAATGAGACTAAAAGAAAGAGAAATATTTGGCCAATAAATATGTAATTTTGATATGAACTCGTCAAAGACATGATGTAAAACGATGGTTGATTCTATTGTTGGAGATTCATTGAAAAGATCTTTTGAAAATGGTGATTAGTTTGATTTTTTGTAAACTTATGAAAACAATTTTGTAAAAGTATCATTTATCAAAATTAATTGTCGTCTACTCAAATTAAAAAAGTAGACATATGATCTTGGAAGATCAGATGAAATCGTACAAAAAAGAATCCTGGTTTCAGAAATTTTACATCGATTCGCTCTAGAAGATTATTGTCAAGTTTGATCATACTATAAGATTTTTTTTATAATCGTACTGTACTATCTCACAGAAAAGTAAGATCTTTCAGGTATTTTCTGTTACCATTCGATATAAGAGTTTGAGAATATGACTTTTGGTACGATTTAATTTCATCCTACATTTGATTTTTTGACTTGAGATCAAAATTTTCTTATAGTAATGTTTTCTCATTTCTCGTTTCATCTACCTTACGATTCTTTGACAAATACAAGTTGTATACTATTGCACTGACGAGAAAGTTTCTTATCCACTGATGAAAAAATACTCTTTTCAGAATATTTTTATTGAAGAGACTTCATTTTGTTGTTACACTGCTTTGTTTATGAATATAAAGCAAAAATAATTTACATATGATTCGAATAATGAAAGTGTTTCCTATCTTCTTGCCAATATTGATTTTCTTTCAGCAACTCCCTATTGCTGAGTCATAAGAGTCAACATTTATCCCATTTCCTTTGTATCTGATGCTATATTAAAAGCTGTAGCTTAAAGTTCTAAAAATGGTGTTTTCAATTTAAAATAAATAAATAATGAGAAATCTAAATGGAATTCTCAATTAATTTAATTATTCATGAAATTTAAATGATTTTTATTAAAATTGCGATAGCTAATATATTGAATTATAGAATTATGAAACTAAATACTTATGAAATGAAAATGTCGAAAAAATATCAAAACAAAAACCAACGACTAGTTATTATTTGATTAATTTGATACATTAAATTCAACATAAGATAAATTCATATGATAAGTAAGAAATATATTCTAAATTGTTATTAGTTTCTATGAAGGTTTTTTAATTGGTTTCCATATCGGTCAGTTAGTATGTCAGATTAGATCATTAGCCAAATAAATAGTTCTCACTTTTTTTCGACTTAATAAACAATAAACAAAACGTTTTAGTTATAAGAAATTTGAAAGAAAAAATTGATGAATTTTACTACATTTGAATAATATTTCAAATGATAATTGTCAAGTTTTACTAATAATAACAATGAATTCTGGTTATCTATTATACTTGTTTTATAATAATATATTAAGATCTTCTCAGCATTAATTTCTCAACAAAATGTTCAGGAACAATCGGTCCTAATGAAAAAGACTTATGGTAAAAATCTCAGCATGATATGCCTAATTAGATCGAATTTCTGGCTTGTTTTCCTACTGTCGAAGAAAATTGAAAGAACTCCATCGTTATAAAGAGTACAGAGTTTGGACTGCATTCAAACTAAAACTGGCTTTTGTGTGCAATTTTTCATCGGACGGAATTTTTGAAATTTCCTTCTATTCAATTATTACAAACATTTTAATGGACATGTTGTTCAATATAAGCATAACAAAGCAATTAAATATGAAAGTTAGCTCTGTTCCGAGTCGGATAGAATTTGTTTCAATTTGTTGCCGAGAAACCAAGTTTTGGGAAAAACACTTAAGAACTTTAAGAAAAAATTTCTTCATCCGAATCTGGAGAAAAAACTATTCTAGAACGGTACATTCACAATACGTTTGTTGACGTTTGTAGGTTATCTTTCTGATTATTTAAATAATTTTCATTTGACTAAGTGTTGGTTTTTTATTTATTTTTGTTTAAAATGCTGTGACGTTTCGTTTCCGGTTTACAACTTCATCAGTTATAAAAATTTATAAGATTTTTTTCGGATAATTGTAATTGATAAAAGCAAATCTTAAACAGTTGAATATAGTTTAACTCAATCTCGCCATAAAAATTCAATTAATTTCGATGAAAACATTTCAACATTAAATTTTTATTTTATTTTAACTAAATAAATCTCAAAGGTTGATTATCAATTTAAATTTATTTTAATTATTTATCAGAAATATTTCTACAAAAACTAATCAACTCATCGAAATCAAATTGGTTAATATTATATAAGTACATAAAAAATAGGATGTGGGTGTGGCTAGAAAATAGAATACCCACACACACCCACCGTTCAGACTTGTTTGCTGTTGCTATCCATACTTACAGATATGATAACTTCATCTGGATAAACCAGAAGATTTGATGCTTGTCTTTCAAGAGTGGAACTAATCGAAAGATCTGAAATATTTATAGAATACTATTCTGGATAAGTTCTGTTTCTATATAAAGTTTCAAGTCGAAATTCGAAAATCACTTTTTCTGATACTCCTGAGAGGGAACACGACATTCATTTAAAAACGTACCGTAAAAATGCAATATCTTCGTACGAACAAGCTATCAGTCCGAACTTTTTTTCAAGGTATCCATAGTTTCTTTGTACCTACATATTGCACATTGTCTCAATGCAAAAGCGATTGATCAGTTAAGGATCTTGCCTCGTAAGTAATTTATACATAATTGATGTTTAGATTATGTATTATTTTGTCAAACCTCGAAATAACTCTTTTATTTCAATTTCAACTAAGAACTCATTCTTTTTCGAAATACATTTATATAAATAATTTTCGACATAAATATAATAATACGAAATAAATCATTTGTATCATTTTGTTGAAAATTAATATATAAATTCAACATGTTATTTGTATTTGTATTTTGGTCATAGATATTATTGCAAGAAAGTAACTTAGTTTCAAGATCTCTTCCGATCGAAAATGTCAAACTGAATATGGGATTAATATTTGTGTTGTATCTTTAGTCATCAATTGATAATATTCGCTTTGAAGAATGTTTCATAAAGTTGAAACCGTTATTTTGAGTTTCAAATAAATGACACAATAGAAATATCTTACGAGATGTCTTTAAAACTATTTATGTTTATTTTCTTTTTCATAAGCTTAAAACATATCGTTTTTTTTAGCTGTAACAATACAAATAGCATGATTCAAAATTTTATCGATAAGTTGCGTTATTGTATTAATGTAGTTGAAATGCTTTTCTTTACGATTTGTACTATGTAGAATTCTGCCGTGTTTATTTCTTATCACAACAATGTCAAAGAAAGGTAAACTTTTTCTTTTGTTAGATTAAAATACTCATTACATATACTTCTATAAGTTACATTTTGAAGCATTTGTGCATCAATATTTGGTGTATATTATTTGTTTTTCGTTGTTAATAATATTTGTAAAATTAATGGTAAATATTTAGTTACTAATTGTGAATTTAATGATTGTTCTTCAAGTCCTACCATCTTTTCAATATGAAGACAAACAATTGATTCGACTACTGGTAATACAAAATATATATAAGTGTACGAAGAATTTTAACGATGTTAATAATAATGTATTTGGTTTTAATAAATTATTCCTAATAGTCTATATTGATTGAATAAGTAAATAATTTCCAGCTAATGTACGATCTATAAAGCCAAGAAAATTATTAATATGAAAATGTATCACGATGATGTATAGTTTCATCATGAATTAAAAATTCACGAAAATTATTTAGAATTGTTTAGCTAAAATAAAATTAGAGATATTATAAAACTATAGAAATTTTAAATTCAAATAAATGGTACTATCATAGAAGATAAATCCAATTATGGACCAAACTAAACGGAAAGGACGATTGATATTCTAAAAAACAATTTAAACTTTAGAAAAATTTCATGAATAAAAAAAAAACGAACTTTTCTGTTTGCTAATGCTCGAAATATAACAATAAATGGATCAATTAATCGTAATTCAAATAATGATACAACAATAAAATTTGTTAATTATGTAGAATAAATATCCAAAAGTGATTGATCCTAAAAAGTAAAGTGAAATCTAAGATTATCAAAGAAAGAAAAATAACCTTAGATGATGCCATAGTAACATGTAATTGTAAATGAATAAGAACTCCATGGACAATTTGTCGTGAAATACAATTCCATTAATCACCTTCATGTTGAATACTATCAACAATAATATCATATACAACTAAGTCTAATACTGCTAAAACTTTAAAAAAAAATAATTCGAACAATAATTTATTTTTTTTCTTTTCTTCGTATCATACGTTGCAAGTCATGTTTACTTGCTTTGTGACAACATAATAAGAAATTTCGTAAGAAATTCTATTCAAAAATAAGCGATAGATCAGAAATACAAGAAATTTTATCAGTGTTTAGTATACCACAATTAATGTGAATTAAAAGTGATTGAACAAATGAATCGAGTACAATAACTTGAAAATCACTTTCATTCGTGTCAACATATTTTTTTTTAGTATTAATTTTTTACTTAAATAGAAGCTATGAAACAGAGTAGATCGAATTCATGTTGTTTGTGATGAAATATTCGAAGATTTTTATTTCAGAAGATGGTGATGAAGGGTGTGGGTGTGGCAGTGAATGTTATTATTTTTTTCAACTCACACTCTACATATACACATAAGAAGAATATTTTTTTTTCGACTACGACGACGACGACATGATATTGATGTCCGTCAGATGAGAAAAAAAAATAAAAAAAAATATACATATATCACTACATAAAGATTGATCGTCAAATCAATTAAAACACACGAAGAAACATCAATTCACGTGTGTGAAATGATTGATGAAAAATCAATTCAAAGATTGAATATTAAACAATTAACCATAGGACATATAAAAACATGGATGTATCATCATAAAACAGTACATTCACGTTTCCTCAATATGATGCATTACAATGTAATTATATACCCGGGTACATTATTTATTATTATTATTATTATTATTATTATTATTATATTATTTACAATGATAATGATATCATTATATTTTAAATAAGGTAAATTATTTGTCTTTATATTTAACAATGCTTTTTTTTAAGATGAGCTACGATACAATACAACATTGAGAGGTAGGAAAAATTTTTTTTTTAAATGTTGAGTTGAGTTGAGTTGAGTTGAGATAATTTATTTCGAGAAAAATAAATATTGTCAGTTATTATGAGTATGAGTATGAGTACTTTTGAGATGAGATGAGTTGAGTTATGAATGTTATTAGCGTGGGTCAGAGAACTACGTTTTCTGATTCAATAGGGACAGGAACTTTGCCATAGCGAAGCAGTGTAGTACTAGGGAAGGCCTCTATGTGTCGTTGGTCCCTACCGTGTTAATACGGCATACCTTCGGCCATTGCCCTACCAGTCCGGCGTGGCCCGCCTGTGGTACCTATGGCATTGACAAGGGATCTCTCCCTTGTCGCGCGCGCGCGGGTAAGCCAAAATGAGCCCAGAAAAGTCGAAACGATTAGCAATGCGAATAAATTTATTGAGGAAGGAAAAACAACCGTTTACATTTTCTTTTTAACATGATCAATGTTATCTTTCGTTGCTTTAATTAGAGGATGTGTTGATGGAAGTGATTTTTGACGAATAGCAAGTGCCTTTTCTAAGAACGAGAGTGCTTTCGAGTAGTCTCCTTTGCCGAAATACGCCAAACCGATGTTGTTGTAGGAATAAGCCAAATCGGGATGATTCGGAGGCAGAGCTTTTTTTGTGATTTCGAGATCTTTTTCGTAAAATTCAAGTGCTTTCGAGTAGTCACCCATGTTCTTATACACTCCACCGATGTTGTTGTAGGAAGTAGCCAAATCGGGATGATTTGGAGGCAGAGCTTTTTTTATGATTTCGAGATCTTTTTCGTGAAATTCAAGTGCTTTCGAGTAGTCACCCATGTTGTTATACACTCCACCGATGTTGTTGTAGGAAGTAGCCAAATCGGGATGATTCGGAGGCAGAGCTTTTTCTCTTATTTTAAGTGATTTTTCGTAAAACTCAAGTGCTTTCGAGTAGTCACCCATGTTGTCATACACTCCACCGATGTTGTTGTAGGAAGCAGCCAAATCTGGATGATTCGGAGGTAGAGCTTTTTCTCTTATTTTAAGTGATTTTTCGTAAAACTCAAGTGCTTTCGAGTAGTCACCCATGTTGTTATACCCAAGACCAATGTTAGTATAGGTAGGAGCCAATGAAGAATGATCTTCCGGAAGAGTTTTTCTCTTGATTTCGAGTGACTTTTCGTAAAATGTAATTTCTTTTTCATATTGACCTTGCTGCCATTTGACTCTACCAAGCTGGTGGTAGATATCTGCTCTGTCACTGTCACTGGAAGCGTTCTTCAGTAATCCATTGTAGAGTTCTTCAGCTTGATTGTAGTGACCCACTTTGAGCATTAGATGGCCCAACTGGTGCCATCGTGTAGACCCAAACAGTTCTCCTTTTATGTTTTGCGTCAGAGTAGCCAATTCTGGATCATTGTCGCCGGTGAGACTCAATTGAACTTCCCATAGACGGCTATTGCTAATTGATTGTTTGATTTCGTCGACACGAAAAACAGTATGCATTGAAAAAAGAATTTCTTTTTCGGTTTTAATAGCACTGTAGTCGTCGATAAGTGCAAATGGAGTAGTCGTCGCCGATATTGTATTTGGATCAATTGTCATGATGAAAAGAACACCGGCGATGTCTTTATTTTTCTGCATTGTACGTTCTACGAATCCCCTAGCGATCTGTTGTTTTGTACTAGTTGACAAAAAATTGTTAAATGAGAGCAGTCCGCCCTTCGTGTCCATTAGATGTTGAAAGTCTTGTTCAACGAGCCCTTGACCACGATAAACAACAAATTTTTTCGTAAAAGTCTTTGCTTGTTCTTTGTGCAGTTGTTCCAGCTGATGATGAAGGTTTCGGATGAAAAAACCCATTTTTGTCATGGTTTCCATGTCCAGTGTTCGTAGGGCATAATTCAGCATGCCATATAGAAACATTTCGCATGTATACCACCAGACTGGCGTTTTCTGGTGGTATGTACTGTGAAAGTCCTTTAATTCTTTTTCCGATATACCTTTGCTACGACAGTAAACGACTAGATCGTTCAACGGCTTCGCGTCGTCTTCATTGATTTCCAATATAATCTCTTTGAATAACACCGAGTACATAAATGATGGTTCTAATTGGTCCAGATTTTCTTGACTTGATGTAGCTGCCGTCGTTTGCTTCGGAACGAAGCTCATGGGAATGGCATCATGGTCACATTCACGGGTGACCTTCTTTAATGATTCACATATGGGCTTGATTGAGGTGAAAACACCTTCAATCTTTGCCCATTCTTTTGCCCATGCTTCATGTTTTGTTTTATTACCACAAAAGATATAAATTGCGTCCACTTGTGACAAATCATGAATCTGTGGTACGAGGTGCTGCCCTAAAGCTCCAGATGAGATAATAAACGCTTTTTCGTTATCCATATTATTCAGAAACTGAATACATTGTGTTGGAGTCGTACAGAGATTGACTTCTCTGACGATGCTGCGCAATTCCGCCAGCGTATTTGCGCAATCTTTGTTGTTCTCGTCGATGTTACCATCGACCCATATCAGTAAATAATTTTGAAGTCGACCTCGGTTTGGTCGGCTGGCAATAGACGAAGATCTTGCAGTCGCAGCGGCGCACATAGCGAATTGGGATATGTTGTTAGGATTGTGTTCGCTTGAATCGTATATGAAATGTTGTTATTCAATTTAAAACGATGAATAATTGCTTGTTAGTTATACAGGGGTCGCCTTTTCTATTTATACGGTCAGTATCTGTTGTTTTTGTTTTCTAGATTTTCTGCGACATGAAATGTGGGTTTTTTTTCGTTGATACTCGATGATAAATTCTCCTTAGCTTCAGTTGAAAAAAGAGATTAGTGCAACCATTTCACTTATCTTATCGTTATTCTTTCCAACTTTCGTGTATACCTTTTTATTACAAGTAACGCTCGTCTACGTGACTCGCTTGACCCTCAACTGAATAATCAGCTGTTTCAGTGTCGGATACTGCTTCACAGTCCTCAACACAGCTAGTATCGAAAGTTTGAACAGGGCGCATATGAATGCGAATATTGACATTCGTATCAATGTCCTTGTGTACAATGACATGCGTGTGTCTGTGATATGTTTTCATATAAATTCGTCGAACGAAACGGAGACGCATTCAATAGTATGCAACGGAAGTCTAAATGAATAACACTAAGGCAGCAGTATCCATCCCATGTAAAGAAAAACGGCAAAAATCCGATTAAAATTGATTACAATTCGATTAAAAATCGATTATAATCATATCTCTTTAATCGACGACGAATCGATTAGGAACCAATTTGTCATCGATTAAAAACGGATTATAATTAGCCATAATCGATTATAATAGCAGAAGCAGTTATTCTACTATATTGCTCGTTTAAAATATATTAAGGTTGTTTTTAATCGATATCTAATCGATTAATAACCAGTCACAGGTGTATGATTATAATCGATTAAAATTCACAGCAATTCTTACAAAATCCACCTATGTTGTTGCTACATTGTAATGACTATATCCTACAAACTAGATCGGAATGCTGGCACCTATATCCTTATGGCTATACTCATATGGCTATATCCTTATACCTTTACAGTTATATCTTTAACCATGTTAGGTGGAGCTAATTCAAAATTAAAGCAGAAATTTATCTTTGTTGTCTTTGTTTTATGTGAATGGAACTCATCGAATTACCTAGGAAAAATACTACGTTACGCGTTTGAAAGTTGGTTTTTGCTGGAAAAAATTCAAAATAATTAAGATAAGCTCATGTTTGGACATTTTGATCATCAAAATTTTGCTTTCAAATAAAACGTATGCGATATTTGAAATCAGCATAAAAAGCTGAATCGAATAACATAGATCTTATTACAAAATATTTTTTATCAAAATTTGATCCCTTCTTCTGTGGCTTATTCGACGTGATTTAATCGGAGTTCCCGCTCGGATCGAATTTCGATGAAAAATATTTTGTAATAAGATCTATGTTATTCGATTCAGCTTTTTATGCTGGTTTTAAATATCACATGAATTTTATTTGAAAAAAAATTTGGATGATCAAAATGTCCAAATATGAGCTCATTCTTAATCATCGTACCACTGATATAAAAAACATAATTTTTCAAGCAATGCATCATTATTATTTTAAACAGGCACGCACCTTTTTTTCATAGGTGTACTAAGTGTGATCCACTAAAAGAAAGCTTTTCATCATTTATGCAAAAGTACTTGATAAGTTGGCAATGCACACAGAAGGCATTTTATCAGGGTTCTACTCATGTTTCGAGGGAACACCGTTCATTTTAGATCACAAGAACGGATAATCTAGTGTTCTATATACAGTTTTACACGCAGGACTCCAAAAGATTACTTTTGGAATTCGACACATCAATAAACACGAGAATTCGGTATTATATTTAAAATTTCATTCATTTGGCATGCTTTTGAAAAACTCATTATTTTGAATTTTGTTCAGCGAAAACCAACTTTCAAATCTCTAACATGGTACTTTTCCTATGTACCTCGTTGAGCTCTCTACACATAAAACGAAAAAAGATAAATTTCTGCTTAAATTTTGAACTCCCTCCAACTTGCCTATACCATTATGACTATATCGTTATATCTATAGTCATATACTTATATTCTTGTACCTATACTTGTATGTCTATATCCTTACACCTATATCCTTAAACCTATATCCTTATACGCATACCCCTGTGACTATGCCCTTAAGAGTGTATCATTACACCTATAACCTGATACTTATTCTCTTATGATCAAATCCCTGAAGTACTAAAAATCTTTTGAGCTCAAAGGTTGTGGGTGTGGGTGGTGGGTGTAGGTATGGGTGGATGTGGGGTGTGGATGAGGGTGTGGGTGTGTGTGAGGGTGTGGGTGGTGGGTGTAGGTATGGGTGGATGTGGGGTATGGATGAGGGTGTGGGTGTGTGGGTGGGTGGGTGGTGTGGGTGTTGATAGCAGCTCTGTCATCCACTGACACCCACACATACACCCATACCCACACCCCACACCAACACCCACATCACCCACCCACACCACCCACCCACACCCACACCACCCACCCACACCCACACCACCCACCCACGCCCACACCACCCACCCACGCCCACCCACACCCACACCACCCACCCACACCCACACCCAACAAGAGAAAACAATAGAAAGTAAGGGTATCATTATTATAAACTATCAGTCTAGGGAGACATAGGATATCCTAGGTCAGGATTCGAGTATTTCATCTCGCGACTCGCGACACGCCCGATTCCAACTGAGATCTCACTGGTTCCAAACACAACTCGATGAGCTCTATCCAACGCACTAGTTGTTTTCCGAAAATAAACAATCCTTACTGGCCAAAATCTGTTTTTCGCAAGAAAAACAAGAAAAAACAACACAACGACACCAAAACCACTCGCGATTCACTCAGAGACCGATTCCAACAAAACCAAGACTGGTTCCAAGTAGATCTCGATGCGCTCTATCCAATGGATACCTTTTGAGCTCAAATCGATGCATCCATCACTGAGAAATCGGCCTACAAGGCCCGAAACAACGCTTTTTTCGGGAAAACCTCTCGCGATTCGCCCATTGGCCGATTCCAACAAAACTAACGCTGGTTCCAAGTAGATCTCGATGAGCTCTATCGAATGGACACCTTTTGAGCTTAAATTGATGCACCTACCGCTGAGAAATCACCCACTAGGCCCCAGAACACAGCTTTTCTCCCTGCTCACCGATAGGTACATCGATTTAAGCTCAAAAGGTGTCCACTCGATAGAACTCATCGAGATCTACTTGGAACCAACGTTATTTTTGTTGGAATCCGTCAATGATCGACTCGTGACAGGTTTTCCAGGAGAAAAGCCCTGTTCTGGTGCCTATTGGCGGATTTCTCAGCGATAGATGCATTAATTTAAGCACGAAAGGTGCCCATTCGATAGAGTTCATCGAGATCTACTTGTAACCAGCGTTAGTTTTGTTGGAATCGGTCACTGGTCGAATCGTGACAGGTTTTCCTGTAGAAAAGCCCTGTTCTGGGGGCCTATTGGCTGATTTCTCAGCGATAGGTG